TGAATTCCGGTTGCCTTTGTGGAGGCTAGGATGCGGTTTTTAATCAGCTTTGATCTTTGACCCCCGACGGAGTAGAGAGGCCTAAATGCTTCAGTCACCATAACTATGTTATCAGACTAGATAAAATGATGTTATATAAAATGTGACGTATTATCCCGTTGATGAGTCATTTAAAAATAAGGTGGTTTGCTAAACTGCTTTTTATTCAATGTGTGCAGGGGTATATTCCGGTATTTTCCAGTGTAATTTTAACTGAAATGTAGGCATATATGCTTACACAAGTTATACAAAAAAAAACAAACGCAATTGTTTTAAACCCCGTGAACGACAGGAAGGTAAGCTGATGAGAAATTGATGTCCACCAAAAGATATACTGAATTTGGAGAGTTGGTGAATAATATTCGGGGTATGAGATAAACCAGAGAAGACGGATGCCTACATTTGGTGAGGGATGAATATTTTCAACAGAATTCTACTTGATGACCTACAAATTGTACTGGACAGCTGCTTCTTCTTCGTTCGGACTCTTCAGCAATGTGTAATACTTTTTTCATCACTGGGCCCTTGGGGTAAATAAATATGGTTGGTGGAGAATTGGGGAACTCTCAAGGAGAGAAACCAACACCCAAGACTATCCACAATACCCGGTGCCTCACAAAAACCAAATTAGCCAAAACCAAATACGAAATTATGATGAGATATGTTGTGTGACGAAATATTTTTGTTCATTTAGCTATTTTGTCTGTGGGATCACGTTACATAGATTATGATGCCCATGAATGAAAGACCTGAATGCTATAAGAGTTTGCAATCTGCTCAACTCCGTAAGTCAATCGACATCCACCGAATCCACGAATGGGTCAAATTTAGAACCCATAAACGGAACGAAAATGTATTGTTCAGGCAGGATGACTGGGTAACATAATAAACGCTTATGATTTTATTAACATTGATGATGAACTACTTAGCAATTTTCCGAAGGGCCCCAACGAAGACAAAACTCAGAACTGGCGCTTCCTGACAAACCGAAATTATATTTCTTAGACGATCTGTTGAATGAAATACATAAAATGAGATGCAATGTTTACTTTTCTCCATGACTGCGTCCAAGCAATTTAAGATGCAACAATAAGTAATGATTACAAATCTGATTCCGTTAAATTTCGCGCATAAAAGCGCCATTTTTTCCTGTTCACGTGCTTTCAGATTACCATTTTTCATTTTCACACAACTGCCCGCAGAATGACGAGTTGCGAATGCTTCGCGAAGCCGCATTCCAGTACAAATTGAATCTGGAGAGCTCCGAAGCTGCACGATATATGTTGGAAGAGAAACTGGCGTTAGCTTGTTCAGAAATGGATGCAGACAAAGATTTCTATCACAAACAAGTGGAACAGTTGGAACGTGTAGGTGAATTTCCACATATGACCCTTTACCAAATTGCTTTTCAATCTATGCAATGTTATTTGCAAATTCGATAACAGTTGATTGTAGTGAAAGTTTTTGTACTTTGGCGAACAAAGAGTATTAGACAGTTGTTTCATCCTTGATAGAACTTTACATAGGTGATTATTTTAACTGCACTCCTCATGCGTGCTTTCGTGTTTGACTATCTTTGAGGCAGCTTTGTTCAACCATATCATAAGGTTCGGATCTGGTTAGAATGAGAGGACTCGTCTAGCAGCTGGTCGGGAAACAAATTTGTGTAGGATTTCGCCCACATGGCTAGTGAAAAAGAGAAATTTATATCCAGCAAGAGTTCAACTTTTATAATATTCGTAAAGTAGTCCCATAGACAAAGTAGAAAACGGTATTCGCGAAAAAACTCTTTTCGATATATTGCATGAGGCGTTTACATATATAAAGTGATCATAGAACATGTGTCATCGTTACTAACTGAGCTTTGATCGGCCAATCAGATAGCTGTTCTATGATCACTTTATATATGTAAACGCCTGATGCGATATATCGAAAAGAATTTTTTTTGGTGAATACCGTTTTATAATATTACTACAGCCACTAACAGTGAATCAATGTTACAGAAATCTGTGATAACCACTCTTGAAGCATTACACTCTGGACAGGTTCGAGCTTTCGCAACACTCTAAAAACTCCTCTTTTTGGGTATCATAGGAACTAAAACACAGCGCGGAAGCTGCGAGCGAGTTGCGAAAACAAAATGTGTCTCTCCAGTCCTCGAACCTCCATTTGACTAATCACGTGCGACAGTTGGAACAGGACCAAACGGAGCTACGTGCTGAAATTGACGTGCTGATTGCCAAGTGCCGGGATCAGCTAGAAGTAAGTTAGCCTCTTCTAGCATGATCAATGAACTACCGGTCCGCATACAAGTTTAGTCCCTTTTGCTGAAATTTACATTAATTCCTGGAATCTACGCATGGACTGATGCACATAGACCCACTGACTCAGTTTTTAATTGAGACTCGTTTGGCTCCGTCGTCTTTACGACCTTTGTTAGGATTGTTCCCCACCGTCACTCATCGAGCATTTTCAAAAAGCACCCTTTCTGATCAAATGAATTATGGTCTGACTGTTGGGAAATACCTTGTCGATTATCGGTAAACGAACCGGCACCAAGGCTAAAAGTTCACGAGCGAAGGAAGAAGTACCACAGGAGACACCGTAATTGATGTAGACTACCTTTATGCTAACGCGTTTGGCTGCGTACTCTTTGTTGTGATAAGACCTCCGGTGAGATGATTGCTATTCTGTGCATTATCGACTTGGATTTTTCTGTCGTCCTTTTATGGTGGAGTAGACCTTTTACTTCGACTATTGGTAATCTTTGTTTGCGTGTACATGTCCGCTCACTATGCCTGATGAAACCGAAGCGCAATACATAAGCCGGACCCATTTTGTGTGAACCGTGGGGGAGATCAGAAAACATTTCGCCATCTGGCAACATTTGTCTTCTTTGGTATGCACTCTGAGATTATAGGGATTTTGAACAATGCTGAATGCTATCCTTTTCACTTTGGTTGAGTAACGGCAATTGAATCGTTAATTTCAAGTATCACCTCTAAGGAAGCAAACGATGTAACGGAAACTGATGAATAGGCTAATAGCTGTCTGGTTGGTGATCTTTGACCTTCTTCCCGTTGGTCGACATGTGTATCTAGCCCCTATGGGATTCAGTCATTCAATCTCAGTTCGATCAGATCGGTGAACCACACGTGAATATAATTTTGTTTGAACTGGTAGTGGGCGGGGGAAGAGTACAGTGCGGTTTCTTGTCCCTTTCACATGGTCCTTCCACGCTCATCAACCTCATCACGCAGCTAAACTCCCATCTGACCCACTTTGCGATCTGAGTGGATAATTTTCTGTGATTTGTGCAAGTTGTAAACCCTCAACCTGACATGAGACTCACTGATACTAACTCCTAATGTTTGTGATAGTCCGTTGTTAACTGTATTCCGGTCGTATGATGATGGCACCCCTTCTGCGCATATTAGCAGCCTGTTGGTCATGTTACGGACTCGTTGAGGCAGTCAAAAGTGTTTCAGTTCTCACATGTGATCATTTTTCGTAGTGTGTATCCAATGTGGTATCCAAGACTTAGACCCAGGACTTCTTAACTGTAATGCCTGTAGGCTTACCTCTCTAACCACCTTGAAAAAATGTCAGCGAATAGTCTTTGAACTGAACTATGTCATCTAGCAGTTCCGTTTAGTTTTTCTCAGCCTATCGGGTTTGTACAGCCTATGAGCCCCATCGCACATAGTTCAAATCCATGACAGGGAATAGATGTTTCAATTTTCTCAATCAACTGTGCATTGATGTGGACTACCCGTTTTGCAGATTTCATCTTCAGGCAAAATCTCCAGTTCATTCAGTCAGTGAGCTTTAGATCCAATATTACCTGTCCCAAACATCCATAGTCCACAAGTAATTGAGTTAAATGTGAAATAAGATCTAGCGAGGTAGGTTTCATTCTTACAAGATTGCCCGACACTGTAAAGAAGAACTGGATTGGTGAGAGGCTTTCGCATGGAGTTGACAGGTTGCCTACTTTGACCCCTTTAGCTGATGTCACAATGAGCCGTCCATCATTGAAAACGACGTCTGAACAATTTTGAATTGGCAATTGTGGTCTGCTCTGGTGTGAGCGAGATGGCACAGTGACGTGCTACACACCTTCGTACCCGGAAATCACATCCCGGAACTTACAATGGATACATCGTACTGGTTATGACATGGGTGAAACTCAAGTCTAACGAATCTATGGTAGAGTGTATGAAATGTGGATAAAGTTTGAAGGATAGTTAATCAAACGTTCGTCCTCATTCGATACCAACCGGAAAAAGGAAAGTATCACCGTTCAAGTCATATAGCTCACGGATTACCGTTGACGTTTTACTGTATCCTTCAAGACTAACGAGTTGATGACAAATTGCATATTTTCATTCTACATAAATCCTGAAATCTTATTGTACTTTTAAGGTGAGAATAGTTGAACTGGAACAAGACAAACAGCAGCTCAAAGATCAATTAACGATGTCCGAAAAGCATACCACGGAGGCAGCAGAAGAACAGAAAAAGAAACTGGATGACTTGGAACACCAGCTGACACAGCAACAGACACGAGTTGAACAGCTGTTGGCCACGAACGACCAGCTCACGTGAGTGTTTAATCAAGTAACCTAAAGTAAAGTAAAGTCAACTCAGTACTGGCTTTAACCCTTTAACTCATACCCTTCCAGCGATGGTATAGGGACAACTTCCAGGGTCTGATGTCTATGAATTATCAAGGGCTGATCTGATGACTAATAGTTTAGAGATGGGACCATGATAATATGAGCAATAACTGGATTGTCCTCTGATTGTATCAATGTATTACAGATTTTAGCGTCGTTTGAAAACAGTATTGGTTTTGGAACAATCGGTAGATCATTTTTGAACGGCAGGAAATATCGACGACCGAGAATAGATCTCTGAGGACCCCCTTGGGCAATGTTGATAGAACTGGACGGCAAAGCAAAAACCGGAACTGATGTCTTTCACTATTGGAGAAACATTACAGTTTTACCAAGCGGAAACCCGAAATGCAGTCACTGCAAAGCTTCCGCAACGAAATCTTTTGTTGTATCCGATAGAGTGCTTTGAAATGTCCAGAAGAACCACTGGCTAATCTTATCGATTCATCTTGGAAAAGAAACAAGTTTGTAACACAGGGTTAGCATGTATGCTTTTTAACTGAAATGTGAACTCCAGTGCTTGCAAAAGTTATACACAATACACAATATCGAGGCTATGTTGAAGTGAAGGAAGAACGTTCCACCTTTCGAAGTGTTCCACCAGGTAATCTGTTACAATAGCTTCGGATAACACTGAAAGGAGGGTTGCAGCTCGGTTATTGGTGGGGTCACCATGATAGCTTTCCTGGTATATGGTCGTAGTGAAGCCTTCTATCCATGATTCTGGCGGTGCTGTACGACTAACGAGTGTTGTTTATTGAAAAGACCAGTGAAGCGAAGAATTCTTTTCGATTACTCATTCTCAAGCTTCTACATTAATATATGATCACAAGGTGGCAACAAAAGTCATGATTTACAAAGTAA